TCTCTCCTTGTAACGAAAATGATATGAACAAAGCCAATCTGGGCTGTCTGGCGTTCGCCTCCTCGATGTTGAACGTCGTCTTCTATTATTGCGATCCCGAGAAATACTTCTTCTTCTTCCACATGAACAATTGGGTCTTCTGTTCGGTTCTTCGTTTCTTCCCTCTAAGCTGGCGAGTCTTGAAGTTAGCTTTGCTATCTCCACCAATATAGTGTTGGATGCTCCATCATCACTGGTCTTAGATGAAGTAACCTCGGCTAGCTGTATTGGTCGTGTAGCTTCCATGACTGTGTCTGCAGTGGTTGCCAAACTGTCCAGGTTTTTGTTTTCTGATACAGCTAAAACTGCTCTCGTTCCTGGTGGAAGATGGTTTTGCCATAATATGCATAATGTATCATCAGGTATTTTTCCACGTGCCAAGTCACGCATGCGTCTCATTAGCTGCGATGGTTTTTGTTCTCCGAGTTCCATTTCGCCTAACAATTTATGCAATTGTCTTGTCGCCGATTCTTCATAAATTGACAGTAATTTATTCTTTAAACTTGTATATTTTTCACTATCCGGAGGTTGTAGTAATAAATCGGTTATTTGGCTTATTACCTCTTTGTTTAACTTTCCGATGACAAGATCGTATCTTGCTTGATCACTCAATTTTTGTGGATTCAAAATGGCCTCGATTTGTATGAACCAGAGTCTTGGTTGATCCATCCAGAATTCTGGCAAACGGGAAGATACCGTTACTGCGGCTAAGTCCATTTGCGTCTTAGTTTCCCTTGGAGATCCACTCGGAGCTTCTCCGCCCTTTGGTTGCGTTTGATATTGTGGTTGAGCCATTGTATCAATGAAAATACTAACTAAACGTTTACTTCGTTATAAAACGGTCCGTGAAATTTTTTACCGTAGCGCTAACCGTACCGCACGTGAGTCGCTCCTTATAATACTATTCCTAAAGTCAGTGTTCTTACGGCTGTGTTCTCACGGTTGTGTTCTTACGGGGTCACCACTGTCCGTTATATGGATGTGCTTTAGTTCTGTCCAATTATTAGATATTCACTTTCCCTGTTATAACGGATATTACTCCTTCAGAAGGTTGTAAATGAAAACACTAAGATTTATCACTGAGAAGTTATATTGTCATTAACACAAAAATATACTATATATATTACAAAATTTCAGTCGTCAGTCAATGTCAGTCGGATGTGCTGCGTATTTTATGTTTTGGTAAAATTTTCTTTTAAAATAGATTTATGAATAATGGGAGCGGATTTCAAAGACCTTGTAATTGAAACTGGATATTTCAGTAAACAAATTTTCAAACGATGTAGCAACTTCAAGATCTGATATTTTTTTATTATCGATATATCAGATACATCGAAAAGTAAAATCACGAATATTAAATATTATTTTATTAAATTAAATATTCGTGGTTTTACTTTTCTACTTTCAATGTAAAATATTCCACGTCATTTTAAATCTATCTTTACTATTAGTAATTTTTGCATTTAAATAATTAAGCTCGATGGCATAGTCGTTGGCGCGTTTAATTCGAAACTTATTTTCCTTATTACACTTATTTACACAATAACTTACATAAACTTACGATAGGTATTTTTCTGAATCAGGCATTTAAAGTGATAAATTTACGTATCTTGGGATACATAAGGCAATTACTTACATAAACTCAATTTAGATATTTTTTATAATCAGGCGCTTCAAATTGTAAGTTTACGCATCTTGGGAGTAATAACGCAATACCTCTTATGAACTTGAAATATTCTTAAGAATCATTCAATGCATGTAGTTAGTTAAAATATTATAGTCGAAGTCAAAATAATCTTTAGTCAAATAGACTTCTCAATACTACTTTTGAATCGGCCAGGGTGATTCATCAGAGTCTCAATTTTGGATGTCGGGAAGAATATCTCATATATTTGACTAAGTTCATTTGTCACATATTTTTTTCATAAAGTTTGAACTATAATCTTGTTGTAAAACTATCATAAAAAAACGTCTTAATTTAATAGTTTCCTAATTTTTTAAATGACTGAAATGACTTTCCTGGGTTGTCTTTTTCACATACTTTCTCTAAAAAATGCTTACAGATTGTTTCGTAAAAATGTATACATTATCGAGTAAAGTAATTTCGTTTGGCAATTAATTGACAAATCAAATAATTGTAATTTAAATCTTTTAATATACTTAAATTCGTCTATGGATCAAAGTTATAAGTTGTCCGGGACCAAACGTTTACTTTTTTTTTTTTGATTCTGTTACTTGCTGTACCTCCCCACGTGGAGTGTTAACCACATCTCAAGTGTAGAGAGGAGAGGCTGAACTTCTTGTCGTCAAGTTCGCCAAATATTTAGGTAAGACGTTGATTCTCCTGCTATTGGTTTAAATTTACTGTTGATTTTCCTGATTATGTTTGTAAAGATCCTGTTTGTTGTTATAATCTCTGTTTACCTTAAAAACATGCTTTCTCTATCGACATACAATTATGAGAAAAAAGGCAAGTCGTTTATGTAAATTAAAAACAAGAAAGGACCAAGTATTGAGCCATGTTGAATACCCATCTTAACTTTCAATCCAGGGGATTATATGCCATTGATATCAACTTTCTGAACTCTATCAGTCAATTATAAGACAATAAAATCCAATGAGTTATCTTTAAATCCATAATAATGAAGTTTCCTAATCAATGTTTCATGAAGAACACAATCAAATGCCTTAGATAGGTCACAGAAAATACTTAACGCATCATGTGAATCCTAACTTCGGTAAGCTTTGGTTGTTGAGCGACCCTTTGTAAAACCAAATTGTTGTCGATGCAGAAGGTTATTTTTGTAAAAGTATTTTTGTATTTGATCCAGCATGATTTTTTAGAAGTCTTACTAAACGTAGATGGATAAGGTCTAAAGTAGGGTCAGATTTGCTACCCGATTTAATAGGATTGGACGAGATAAATAACGCAATGCATTTTATGAACTTACTTTATTTTATCTTACGGAAGTCCATTGCTATAGCTGTGAAATTCAATTAAACTACGATATCGCGCCAGGGATTTCAAAATCTTTTTTTCTTTTTGAAATCCGGTTTTCTAGATTCTCTTCCGATTAAAATTTGGCTTTTTCGTTTATTTTGTAATTTAAGGTGTTTTTATGAAAACGAAATGAAATATCACAAATTATATTAAAATCTGCTTTATTAGTTACTAGCTTTTGTCCGCGACTTCGTCCGTGGTAAAGTTACTTTGGGCAGCATATGTTTTCAGAAACGTTGTTGTTTTTCGATAAATATTCAATATGTTTTAGCACTTTATCTTTAAAATTTTTAGAGATATTAATCCAATCCAATCCATTTTGAAATACAGATGGAAAAACACTTTGGAAGTTTACAAAAAACTTAATCGAAAACGTTATCTACGCAAAAAAAAAAACAGAAATTTAATTATTTGCTAAAATATCATTTATATATGATCACTTACTCTTGGCCATATCATGAAGAAGTCATACAGTCATTGCCCATATCGTTAAACGAAAATAATTCATTGATCTGGCCAGGCCATATCATAAAGTGGGCAGCAAGAGAAATGGCTGGCCGCATCATGACTTGGTCAATTCTACGATCTGGCCATGACATATATACTTGGAAATCTATACTAAGGTGCTCACATAATATGAATGAACAAATGTAATAAAATAGGATTTGTGAAAATTATCAGCTTGAAAATCCTTGGTTAAGAACTAGCAATACTTATCCTCAATATATTAATTATTGGTGAAATAAGATAAAAACAGAAATAATTGCAATTCTTTAATCTAAACTTGGAACATTTAATGTTTTTGATATAAAGTCTGCGTAAAGTTCTTTGGTCAAAATAATGGCGCGATTTAAAATATATTCACCATCAGCTGGCTGAAAATTTATTCTAGATAAATATTCTAGGCAAAAAGAAACTGCTATTTAGAATTCATTTAACTCCATCTAGTATAGTTCATGTATATATAATATAAAAATATTTTTTCTTTCGTTAACAAAATAACGCGAATTTGAACATTTTACCCATTAAAATTTCAAAAATTTAATATATCCTCAAATACTAATTTTCATCGCGATACAATAAAACATTTTTGTAAGTAATATTAGGTAAATTTATTTCAATGGCAAATCAGATTGTAAACCATGGTTTAACTACCCAAATACAAATGTTCATCGACATAGGTCCATAAACAAAGTTTAGAATTTCCAAAAGTCCGTTCTTAGTACACCTCTACGGATTAAGGGGAATGTTTCCTCCGAATTTTAAACTACTACGACCAGCAGTTTAGGCTATGCGTTGTCTGTCAGTCATTAAGTCAGGACATCTCCTTTTATATATGAATAGATAATCCTCGACAGAAAATAGTAAAATCAACTAAAAAAATTAAAACATCGGGTATTTTTTTAGAAAAAAACTTAGGCGCAGGAGTTACACGAACTCATTCACCCTTGACCATTTTACCAACTGCAATCTAGACACACGGCGGGATATCATCCCCATTTAGTAAATATTCCAAGATGCCGCACAGAGCGCTATTTTTCTTACGCATTGCCAAGGAGGGGAACTCCCTGTCGGCGTCTATATTCCCGTGTGCATAATATAACACAGACATATTTAAGTCAAGAGTGAATAGCTTCCTTATGAGCAAACTCGTCGTATATTTATATTTGCAGATCACTTTCTTCCTTCTATTATACTTATTGCTATTTTATTGAGACTTATTTTAAAGATGAAAGTGTAAAACAAAAATGATATCTAGAAGATAATACACGCCTTCATTCAAGCTATATAATTAAAGTTTTACGTTAATATTTACATTTACCTGTATTAGGTAGATCTCAATGATTTGGTACATAATAAAAATCAATTTGAATTGAAAATAAGTATAATACATAAGAAAACCAAGAATAAGGTTTGTATTCTCCGGGTATGTATGTGGGATGGTAATAAAAAAATAATAAAACATCATATTTATAAGTTTTATTAAAACACTCTTAATCTTAAGTTAAGATTAGTCGAAGGCAGTGTCGATTCGCATATTTTTGAGTATTTCGTACTATATTATTATTTAAAAAATATATGATATACATATATACACATTATCATAATCACTAGAACCAAGGTAACTCTTTACCTATATAGTACATATAATCATAGTTAAAACAAATTAATTAAAAACAAAACTTGCGATTTCAAATGCAAATAGCGTTCAGTTTGGTATCACAATTATGGCAACTATTTTTTTACTTATTTCTAAATTAGAAGACAAAAGGTACAAGGGGTCGATCATAGAAGTAACCTTGGTTGTCGATAAAAGGAGGACGCGTCGTAAAGGGGATTCTCGTGGTTGAAGGAGGTATGTACACTGGTGTCTTAGTGGTATAAGTGAATGCTGTACTAGGCTTCGGGTAATTGTATGTAGTTCTGAATGTGGGTCTAGTTGGTGGCGGGGTAGGGAGAGGTGTTCTAGGAGTGGTCCTAGTCACTGGTGGAAGGTAAGTCGGTGCTGTAGGCGGTGGGGGTCTTATAGTCGTCGGGTAAGTGAATGGAGAAGGTGGTTTGGGGTAGTCGTAGCCCGTCGTTCGTGTTGGTGGTCCATAAGTGGAGTACGTAGGAGGTGGTCGTGTCGTAGGTGGTCTGGTTGGTGGAGGTTTTGTTACTGGCCGCCTGGTTGGTGGTGGTGGAGGGGGCGGAGGTGGTCTGGTTGGTAGCGGAGGAGGTGGTGGCGGCGGCCTGGTCGGCGGCCTAGTCGGTGGTGGGGGTGGCAGGTATGTAGGTGGTGTTTTAAAGGTAGGTGGTCTTGTTGGAGGTGGTGGTGGAGGAGGTGGAGGTCTAGTTGGCGGTGGTGGTGGAGGTGGCGGTGGTCTAGTCGGCGGCCTAGTCGGTGGTGGGGGTGGCAGGTATGTAGGTGGTGTTTTAAAGGTAGGTGGTCTTGTTGGAGGTGGTGGTGGAGGTCTAGTTGGTGGTGGTGGTGGAGGTGGCGGCGGCCTTGTGGGCGGCCTAGTCGGTGGTGGGGGTGGGAGGTATGTAGGAGGTGTTTTAAAGGTAGGTGGTCTTGTTGGAGGTGGTGGAGGTCTAGTTGGCGGTGGTGGTGGAGGTGGCGGTGGCCTAGTCGGTGGCCTAGTCGGTGGTGGTGGTGGCAGGTATGTAGGTGGTGTTTTAAAGAAAGGTGGTCTTGTTGGAGGCGGTGGCGGAGGGGGTGGAGGTCTAGTTGGTGGTGGTGGTGGAGGTGGCGGTGGTCTATTCGGCGGCCTAGTCGGTGGTGGGGGTGGCAGGTATGTAGGTGGTGTTTTAAAGGTAGGTGGTCTTGTTGGAGGTGATGGTGGAGGTCTAGTTGGTGGTGGTGGTGGAGGTGGCGGCGGCCTTGTGGGCAGCCTAGTCGGTGGTGGGGGTGGTAGGTATGTAGGTGGTGTTTTGAAGGTAGGTGGTCTTGTTGGAGGTGGTGGAGGTCTAGTTGGCGGTGGTGGTGGAGGTGGTGGTGGCCTAGTCGGTGGCCTAGTCGGTGGTGGTGGTGGCAGGTATGTAGGTGGTGTTTTAAAGATAGGTGGTCTTGTTGGAGGCGGTGGCGGAGGGGGTGGAGGTCTAGTTGATGGTGGTGGTGGAGGTGGCGGTGGCCTTGGTGGCCTTGTTGGTGGAGGTGGTGGTAAATATGTGGGAGGTGTTTTTAAAGTCGGAGGCCTAGTCGGTGGCGGTGGAGGTGGTATTCTCCTAGTAGTAGGGGGACGGTAGGTAGGTGGAGGGTAAGTTTTTTCTGTGGTTGGTTGCGGTCTAGGAGTAGTTCTAGTCACTGGTGGAAGATAAGTCGGTGCTGTATATGGAGGAGGTCTTCTAGTCGTCGGGTAGGTGAGTGTGGAAGGTGGTTTGGTGTAATAGTAACCGACAGTTGGTAGAGGTGGTCTGGTTGGTGGCAGGTATGTAGGCGGCCTAGTCGGTGGCCTAGTCGGTGGTGGTGGTGGTAGGTATGTAGGTGGTGTTTTAAAGGTAGGTGGTCTTGTTGGAGGTGGTGGTGGAGGAGGTGGAGGTCTAGTTGGCGGTGGTCTAGTCGGCGGCCTAGTCGGTGGTGGGGGTGGCAGGTATGTAGGTGGTGGATAAGTAGGTTGTCGGGGTGTTGTTGTTGTCGGTGGGGGTCCTGTTGTTGGTGGTGAGGGTGGCGGGGTTTGCGGTCGTTGTTTTGTTGATGGTGAGGATTCATGTGAAGCCTCCTGGGCTTGTGTTCCCAGGTCGGTTACTGCCCGTTTCAGATACATGTGATCATCCTTGTTAAGACTGGCCTTGATCGAGAACCGGAAGACTGGGATGCTTTTGTTCGAATTACTAGGGACCTCTCGAACTGAGCGGTCCGCCTGGCAAATGCGGTAGATCGCCAGGAGGACCACTACAATATGCAATGAAAATCTCTGGAAAGAATTAAAAAGTTGGTTTTAATGTTACACCGTGACTCCAAATAACATGTCAAATGTAATAGAACTGCATTGTTAATAATTATTATTATTATTTATTTGCGAAAATATGGTTACAAGGTACTTTTACAGTGTTAGATCAGCATATTTTATCGTCAAGACGATGTGCAAATATTAAAGTCAATATACAATAAATTGTCTGATTTTATATGAAAGAAAATGTCAAAAAATTAAATTACACAAAAATATCAAATGTCAATCATAGTCAAAAGATACAATAGGTTCATATTATAATCAAAGCATTCATATAATAATTAAGAATGAGATTTATCTTGCAAGAATTCATTAATTGAATAATAAATTTTATCCATTAAATATTTAAATAAACAGGATTTGAATGTAATAACATTATCAATAGTTTTAATATTATTCGGTAATTTATTATAAATGCGTATACTCATACAATATGAGTTCTTCGAATTCACAACGAGTCTTTGAGTTGGAATAGATAAATTTGTACCCTTCCTACCACTATATGCAAAATCTTTATTTTGTTTAAATAAATGGAAATATTTTTTAACAAATATCCCCATTTCAAAAATATATAAACATAAGAAGTGGTAATACATTTAATGATTTAAACAAAGGCTTACATGAGTTCAAGTAGCCTGCACCACAGACTGACCGTATGCATTTTTTTTGTATTTTAAAGGCACGAATTGCATCGACCGAATTACCCCATATCACCATAACATATCGCAACACAGATGAGACGTAACTATGATATGCTATTAGAGCGGATTGTTTAGAGGCCACTTGTCTAATTCTATTAATAGCAAATATAAATTTGTCCAATTTGGCAGCAATTATGTCTATATGTGCCTTCCAATTACAGAATCTATCTATCGTGATCCCTAAGAAATTTGTTTCATTTGCTTCTACTAGTTTTTTATCTTTATGCCATATATCTATTGTTCTAGTTTTAGTATTTGTAGTTTTAAATTGAAAGTATCTCGTTTTATTAATGTTAATTTTTAGGTTATTTTTCTCCAGACATTGTGTGACTTTTCTGAATTCAGTGTTAGCTATTCGTTCAATATCATCACAATCCTGACCTCTGATAACAAGTGTTGTGTCATCTGCAAATAGGACACACTTTTGGTCAGTAACACTGGGCAAATCATTGATATACAGCGTGTTTGGTAATACCTGTATAATCACGAAACATGGCCATACAACCTAGCACAAAGAACACAATTGATGTGTCAAAAAACAATTTCACGTAAATTGATATTTTCATACAAATATTTGAACAATTTGTTTTCAATTACTATGCTACAACCCTGTAAGCTTACACGTGCCGTCCCGGCGTACTCGCTCTTTCTCTCTCTCTCTCTCTCTCTCTCATTACCTCTCACTGTCTTGTTTCCTAGAATACATTTTGATGTCGCCGACGCGCGCACTCGACTACGTATGAGTTTACTTGTAATTAAAACAATTTAAGATTAAACAGGTACATACCTACAGCGTTCTAATCACTCTTTCAGCTTTCACTTATCAACATTACCTACACTTCACCTCCACTTTATCAGTCCAGGGTCTCGATATGCCGGCCACCGCATAAAACACACATCTCCATTCGACTCGACACAGACCGTTTCGTGTTACTCTCGACGTAAAATCATATCCTCTGTCTCGATGGAATAGGTGTTCGGCCGGCCTACCTGTGGCACACTATGGAATGAACCAGTTGTATGTAACCGATTCACAAGTGCCGCGAATCACCGGTAAGAAGGAAGACGTCGATGGTTTTCAGATCTTCCTGACACGTGGCGCTCGTCATAACGCCGCCGAGCCGCAGCAAGATTACCGTCACAAGCACCGCCACACATTATCATCTTGTAATATTAGGCATTTGAGTACGAATTCATTGCACTGACCACACACAAACATAACACACAGGTAAACAGAACGAGAATGAAAAACAAACCAAAAGTCCCGAAAGAACGAAAACGTAAGTTGACCTTCTAAATTATGAAAACTCACAAGTACGCCGATGAAAGTCACGGACGCGACTGACGCGATGACCAAAACTACATAGGTTATTATTATTGCAACTCGAACACCGATGTACCTAAATCAAAAGTGCACCGATTTAGGGTCGTCGTCGATTTTATGTCTCTGTCGCTCCTTCTTGCATAGACTAATGTGAGCAATGGTGCAGATATTGAACTTCAATCAAAGTATTTGCAATTTCTTTTTTATTTTGACTGTATTATTAGAGAAGTTTTCTTAATTATAGTTTTTGAAACACCGTTAATTACAAGATTAGTGTTTTTTATGGTTAAAAGTCATTTACTACTAACTTTTTCTTTGTTTTTGTAATAACAAATTACTCTCAGATGCATATTCATTGTAGGCATTTATCTTTAGATTTATTTAACTTCTGTTAATTTTTAAACTAGTTCGGCACATGGAGTCGATGACCAAATACAACACAACAGCTGTTTTTAGGGTTGTCAGCGTACAGTATTACTTCGAAGAAAAAAAGCTGAATATCTAGGCCATGTGCTGGGTTTCAGACTTAGTGATCATTTTTCTGGGTTCTATTCATCATACCGTATGTGCCATATTCGGGATTATACAGGTATTACCAAACACGCTGTATAATAAAAATAAAAGTGGTCCAAGTACGCTACCCTGGGGTACGCCACAACGAGTCAGTGTATATTTAGAAGTATAAGATTTTCTAAAATTACCTTGCATCTTAGATATTTCGACACATTGTGTGCGGTTGCTTAGATAACTTTTCATCCATTCTAAGGCATTGCTCCTTATTCCATATCTATCTAATTTGTGTAGGAGTAACCTGTGTGAAACAAAACCAAATGCTTTGCTCATGTCCAGGAATATTGCCAAAGTATTTAGTTTAAGATCGAGGTTATGTGTAACATGTTTTATGAGATTAAAACATGCCAGAGTCGTACTTCTCTTTTTTCGAAATCCAAACTGTTCATCTTTTAATGTATCTTGAGATGAGATAAAGAGTAAACTTTGTCATACATCACTTTTTCAAATACTTTTGAGAAGATTGTGATAAGTGTAATAGGTCTATAATTACTTAGTTCATTGAAAGATCCTTTTTTATGTAATGGTTTAATTAATGAGCGTTTTAATACTGAAGAAAAATGACCCTGCATAAAAGACAAATGTATAATATGATTTAGTGGATGTACAACAAAACTAGCATTTTTTTTATGATATCCGTACTTAATTCATCGATGCCAGTTGAGTGTGTGTTTTTTATTTTTTTTATTATCTTATAAATATCATTTTCATTAACCGGTGTTAGGTAGATACTATTTGAACAGATTGGTATGTTGCGTGTTGCATAAGATATGTCAATTAATTCATTATTAGCATAAGTTTCATTAATAAAATATTCATTAAAATTGTCACTTATTTGAATTGGGTCATTAATATATGAATTGTCATTGAGTTTAATTTCCGTGATGTCCTTTTTATTTTCTTTGTTTATAAAATTATATTTGATTATATCCCACGTCGACTTGCAAACATTTTTTACTCTAGATATGTAAATAGAATTAGTTTTCCTTTGCTGTTGATATATACATATTTTTTTAGTAACTTAGAGTAAGACAAATATTTATTTTTCTTCATATGTTTATTTGTTGCGTTTAGACGATATTGAAGGTAAAGATGTCGCTTTTGAATACAGCATTTTTTATGTCTTTAGTAAGCCAACGGTTTTTAATAGGTTTATTAACCCTTTTTATTGTTATTTTTGGAAAACATAAGTCAAAAAACATTTTATATAGTTCGTGAAAAAGATCAAATGCTTTTTCAGTATCTTCTTCTTGTAGTACTTCATTCTAAAATTTTTTTTATATTATGTGTGTCCATATCACGTTTCTTTTCAAACCAAATCCTTGGCGGTTTTTGGTACTTTGCATTATTATCGACAACAAATGTAACGCTTTGACCCGTTTCATGGTCTGATAAACATAGATAATGTATTTTAACAGTAACCGCACTATGTATATTCATCATCATCATCAGCCCTTTTATGTCCCCACTGCAGGGGCTCAGGCCTTCCTTACGGATGGTTAAGGAGGATGGGCCATGACCCTCCACGCTGGCCCTTACAATAATATCTAAGCAGGCATTTTTACGAGTAGGAGTATTAATATTATTATATATGTTGTGGTTATGAAGAATACTTGTTAATTCCCTAGAGTATCTGTCGGATTTCATCATGTCAATGTTCCAGTCGCCACACAAAATATTTTTTTTTTTCCTTTTTCGTGATAGTCTATTGAGTAAATTTTCCAATTGCATAAAAAATATGTCAATATTAGATGTTGGTGTCCTATAAATGCAAATTATTATCAGATTATATTGTAAAATTTCAGTAGCGCAACATTCAAACACAAACGGCATGGATTCTTTTATATCATATATTTTTTAATCTAAATTACATTTTAGCAATATGCAACTACCACCCCTACGTTCTGTCCTACAAAACGCGGAAGCTAAATAGTAACCCTTTATATTCAGATTACACTGCGAACCTTGTTTCATGAATGTTTCGGTTAAACATATTATGGCAATATCCCCTAATTCATTTTTTAGTTCTTCGGATATGAGGTGTATCGCTACTGTTCATTTTTACTCATTTAAAAAAGGAGGAGGTTTCTGTTTCAAGTTTAATCCTATTTAACAATGTGGGGATAAAAATAAAAGATTTGAGATATTAACAACTAGCTTTTACCCATTACTAAATCAAAATGATTTATTCAGTCTAGGCTGTTACAAGCACTTATGAAAGTCGAGAGCTACGCCATCGGTTCGTAAATCTACGGCGGGAGACCTTGTACCGAGAAGAACCTGCAAGAAACTCGGCAAGGCATGCTTTTTTCTCCCTGTTTTATTTCACACAGAGCATCAAGATTAAAAAATGACTTCATTAAAATATGAAGTCACTTTCCATTACAATATTACAAAATATAAGAGTAAAACAGTATTTTCGTCTATCGAATCACATGTGAAAAATGAGCTATATTTAACACCAAGCAGTTTTGTCGTTTAAATATTCATTGACAGAATAATATCCTTTACTGAGTAGACAATTCTTAATATGCATTTTAAACTACAATGGTAAATTTAAAATTTGCATATGAATTATACTTCGTCCGCATTGTATAGGTACTTTGTGCAACATTTCCAAAAATTCTAAAACAAATATTTATTCATTAAATCGTTTAAAATACCTGAAAATAAAGTCTCATGATTTTATCTTAAACAATAACTAACTTCGATACAAACTTTAATTCCTTCTTTCAACCCTTTATCTCAATAAAAAAGTAACCAATGTCCTATCGCAAGTCAACTCAGTTTAGTATTTTAGGTGTGAGACCGTAATAGATATAAGTATACACAGTTTAACTATTGCATGTATTATGTATTATTAATATAGAATAATTGAGCGATGATCCTTGTCTTGCCATAAATATTGTTACACAGAAGATCAACATTTGCAGTGTGTTAGTTTAGTACATTAATATAAAGCCATTAAAATATATATATATATATATATATATATATATATATATATATATATATATATATATATATATATATATATATATATATATCTATATATTTATATTTATATATATATATATATATATATATATATATATATATTTTAATTGGTATACATTGACTGCAAAACAGCCCTTCAACAAATAGACGAAAGCACGCTTTCGGTGAGAAAATTCATAATTTTTAGAAACTTCAAGATATCATGGCGTAAACGAACTAAAGAGCAAGCCTTACTCTCTGAAACTGACCATATCATAATTCAGCGGATTAAGATGTAGAGCGATTCCATAAAAATCCAAATTCGAAATCAAATTCATTCAGGTGACCGAACTCACTTCGAAAGCGAATCTGCTTATTCTTGAATTAACATTCTCTAAGCATTTAGTAGCATAAGCGATGTGAAGTAAGTTTCGAAATGACGTAGGGATGAAATATCTGAGGTATATATTAATCAATCTTGATTTATATTTTTAAACAAAAAACGGCATCCACAAATGTACTAAATGTATCTCAATGAAATAGTATAATCTACATTATTAATTATCATTATTATTATTAATCTTGAAAAACATTAAAGAAAAAAATAGGGACGATGACTGGGTAAAAATTAAGTCCGTCTATTTACTCCATCAGTCAGATAATGTAATAATATTAGATACGTATTCTTTTGTTTCAATTTAAATACGAAATGGCTTAGATAATAGGCATAAAGTTAAGGAGTGGAGGCTTGCTACGTCACAGTTTTGTAGAAAATGTACAAAAACGTGACCTCATGTGACATTTCAACTCAATTTATCGCCGTAATTTAGTGAGTACGCAAAAAATAAAAAAATACGTATTAACTATTCTTCATTGATCTACCTGACAGACAAATAAAGATAATTAAGGGTAGTCATTCCAATTGTCGAATTCCATAAATATTTACGTTCCTAATTAAGTTTTCTTGATTTATCGGAAGGAATAAACGTGTAGTTGGAACAGTGATGAACGTAAAAAAAGCAATCACTTGACGTGCCTTCCGAAGCACGGAGAACCTCGAAGAAGTAGTAAATATTTGGTCACCCATCGGCCCTTATGAAAATTGCTTAACATCCGTAGCGCCGGCAAAAATAGTAAGTATATTAAATCTTTCATGCTTTATTTCTAATAGAGACATTATCTCATAGGTCATTCTCATAACTAGAACTAACCTTTTCCATTGCCTTGATCACTATTACAATTCACCTTGGAAATGCAACAGTAAACGTCGTTTTGTCTAACGTTTTAATTAATTATTCATATCTGCCTCACTCTTTATTATGGATAAAACCTTCGAACGGGTTCAAAATATCATAAGGCACAAGAGGTCATCAAGAAACACAAATTTGATATTCTTAGTATAATTTGTAAATCTTTAAAGTACATTTCAAACATTGAATACGACTGACTATCATTAACTGGTATTCTATTAATAAACAAAAAATAAAAATAAGAAACGTATTTATAACGCCAAAGGAAAGTATATAACATATTTTCCTGTAATTCTGAATATTCGAACGAAAAAGACGAAAAAGACCCCTCTTAACAGACTTCTGAAAAGAAAAGAATCTAATTGGCGATTCTTTAATCTTTAATCTGAAATTAATTTCACTTATGGGAGTGACGTAGATTTATGAATAAAAATAGATCAATCAAAGAAGCAGCTCTTAAGCAAACTAACTGCAAATAAACATAAGAAACGTATTTGTAACGCCAAAGGAAAGTATATAACATATTTTCCCGTAATTCTGAATATTCCGTATAATATGCAGTGGACGAAAAAGACCTCTCTTAACAAACTTCTGAAAAGAGAAGAATCTATAATCGGCGCCTATACATTTTGTATGTTCATCGGTTTGTCCTTAACGTATAAACCGAGTTTTAAAGATCATAATTGGCGATTCTTTAATCTGAAATTAATTTCACTTATGGGAGTGAAGTAGATTTATGAATAAAAATATCTATATAAAATAAGCAGTTCTTAAGCAAAATAATTGAAAATCGGTCAACAATTCGTGGAAAAATCGGTAAATATGAATAATAAAAAAAAATACATCGTCATCCAACATATAACCTCCTATTTCCGATTTCGTGGTTAGTTCAAAGTTGAACTAAACAATGAACGACATAATATAAATCATTGATCGACATGTCGTCAAAGCAAACAAAGTCGCATTTTGCTTTACTATGATTATGTTAAGAGCCCTTATGACCTATCGATTAAGATTTGTGCGTAAAGTAGTTAATTTAATCGTTCTCGATATCTAATCTAGATTTTGACATAGAGAACGATTAAATTATAAAATATATATCAAGATATATATATATTGATATTTTTTACTTATTAAATATTGTTAAATAACTATTATAGTTCGTAGCGCCTTCGATTGATCTAAATTGTGTTTAACTTTTTAATTAATCACCAAATTGCAAAAAATCATTTTCGTAAAATGCACAATGGTACTTTTTACATAAACAAATGAAGTACTATACTAAACAGAAGTATTATACGACCATTCCTAATTTTTACTTATTACTTCAACTTATATTTTATTTCAACTTATATTAACTGTTATGTATTTTTCCTCGTGTACAAAAAAGTGTTCATTCATTCAATAAATATTACTTCATAAAGAATAAAGATTTCATAATTTTTAAGCAAAACTTTAATATGAAATTTCCATAAAAAACGATAAACATAATAAAATTATCACAAAAAAGACGCATCGGCCGACCGAGCTTTATTTGCTCGGCCTAAACTTAACAATAAAAGATAAACTTTTCTATATAGTCTCGCGTCTGGGTGTAGCGGTACTGACCAATAGCAATACATGTGATTTTTTTTTTTTAAAGGCAGTCTTACAGTGTGGCTGCATACTGTAGTAAAGTATAATTGAATGGTTTACTCTAACGTAGGTGATGTATGTATACCTACTTATTGAGGACCGATATAAAACACACATTCATGTAATATAGAGCAATGTGGAGACCTATGGTAGAGACTGATAATAATAAACTATAAAAAAGCGTAAACAATATTTTTATCAAAAAAGTTAATTTAAAAATAAATTCTCATGTAGATTGGTCGCCAATGCTTACTACTAGTCATAAAATCCAGTATTTAAATTTTCACAAACATCCAGTACGACGATATCAACAAATAATGAAATTATTGAAAATACTAACTAGAGATAAACAGTAATTCCAGAAAAGTAATAAAAGTTAATCGGTTTTAACTACACAAGAGTAATATACGTCGTTAACTAAACGAATTGCCCCTCGGATGTCCTATTATTTTCTACGAGTTATAACAATTTAAGTACCGCACATTTTGTCTAGGTTTACTGTACTCACCATATTGGAGTTATTGACACAAAAGCCTCTTATTTCTCATGACGCCACTCGGGGCGTGCTGCTCGGAGCGACCGAAAATCTATTATGACTAACTTTGCACATCAACTATTTATGTATGCTGAATTGAAGGTTTCTGAAATCCAATAAATATCATCATATAATATAAATTTATTGTTTTCTAACATTTATGTCATCCAAATTTAAATGTCCTCCGTCAATGGCTTTGTGAGATTCCTTCGTTGGATTTTGGATGTTGATACCGTTAATTGGGCAACCACTAGCTTTTTTGCTTTTGTGTCACCCGCGCCCATATGCACTCATGTATCCTAACAGTCGAACACCAATAGTATTATGTGGCGAGAGTAAAATATGTCTTTCACTAAACATCTTGACTTGATTTAATGTCTTTTGATAGCGTAAATGGTTAGATGGCAGTTTTTTTTTTCATGTAAAGTAAGTAATTTACATAAAATTACAACAATAATGATAAACATATTACAAAATTACTGAGACCCCGGTTTCAATTTCCGGTCGGGTCAATGTAGAAAATTGACTTTTCTATATTGTCTAAGGTCTGGTGGTGTAGCTTTAATTACACACCTTGGAATCTGAGCAATGTATATGATGTTGTCCAATATTCATTTATTTACCTTTAGTTCATGGTATAGATAAAGATGACGGAATTTCTGAGAACTATTAAAAAAATATTAAGCTATTGTTTTCGTTGTTACGTCTACATAGCATTATATTTCCCAGCTTCATTCTTTGCGATTATTTTACATGTTGTAGTTGAGTTCCCACGAATCAGCCTTGCACGGATGCTTAAATAAAAGTAGAATTTAAAAAATTACTACTGGCAACCCATTTTCGTCTCACCACCCCGGCGGCCATTATAGCCTTTTGACTCATTCTGCGTTTCCGTGCTCAAGCCTTCGCACACGAGATATTATTATCAAGCAGTGGTAATTCTAATTAACATTGATAATGCCAAATAAAAGAAAAAAATATAAAGATGATGCAAGAATAATAGTAGGGGAGCCCACGATGCTAAATCGGGATTTACTCGAGCGTCATAGAGACCTATTGGGTTGCGAAGCTTAGATTATAACAAAAAAATAATGTCATATAATATATACCTTTTCATCGGTGGGGGAAGCGGCTATAGATTTTTAAAAATGTAAAAAAAAAAAACTGTTGTGTGGACATACTCAAGCGCGTCAGATATTAATATCATCCATGTCCTACGCATTTTTAAAAACTGTCGTATGGTAATCTGATCGTTTCCTTGATGGGGGTGGCTATACGTAAGGGCTGAAAATGAAAAAAAAAATTTTTATCGAGCGCGTCAGATTTTTTGAGGGGATGTCAAGTGAACCTAAAAAAAGCTCTCATATAATAATCTGACGGGATTTACTTAAACTGACAAATATTTTTTTTTTAATTTTTTCAAATTATTGAGCTTAATTAAATTGAAAAGCATCGGAGTTAGCATGCAAATATAAAAGTGTGTTTTTTTTTATGTAGAATACTTATATTTATAAGAAAATGATTATATGAAAATTTAATTTTTACAGTATTTTTTATTAATTATCATCTTAATCGCTAGAATCATCTTCCTCTTCTTCTCTTAGTAAATATGTAAAAAGTGTAATTCACAAAATTTACATTAAAATAACAAAATAAGCAAAAACGTTGGAAATACGATGTAAACAATATCACGCCACGAACGAGTCTGTGTCATCAGCTGTCATGGCGTCATGGCAACCGAAACCAGAGTGGGGACAGAGTGAGAGAGTAATATATAGAAAAAGAGGGAGAGAGAAATAGTGATGCGGACAAGGAAATATAGGTATTACGCATTAAATCTTATCGATGGATTTTTATTACTTCGGCTTGTGAAAATCGTCAGATTATATATTTTTCGTAATCCTTGAATGATTCCCTTCAAAATAAAAAAAACAATTAGACACGCTCGAGAATGTCAAAGTGACGTTTTTTTTTACAACTTTGTAGCCTTCCCCCTTCTTTACGTCACTCTCAAATTGTCAGATTAGAGGTATGTACACCTTTTAGCATGTAACTAGCTCACCTTACCTTAATCTGACGCGCTCGAGATTTTCAGATGATCAATTTTTTTTTACTAATCTGATCCTTCGTCCTTGCCGGGCGGCCATTTTTATAGGGCTCATACTTGGTCCAGGAACTTAACTGGGTACAAGGTATCCCCCTGTATATTAATCTGCTGCGCTTTAGTAAATCCCGAAATCCCCGCTTCGGCTCCCCAACTATAAGAAAGAAAATTCGTAAATTGGAATCTCAATTAAATCAAGAATCAAGTCCTCACAAGCGGCTCATAAACTATTCGGATAGTGACAGTGAAGGCAAGCATATATTTATATGCCTGTTAATTGCTCTTAAAGATCTAAATTTATGTTATTTATAAGGATTTATAAAGACAAGAAAAATCAAAGTAGCCGACCCTAACGAACGAACTTTCGAACTACCGCCATTATTTTTTGTACCTATCATGTATGCCACAGCGTTGGCTTTTATGGCATGTTATTAATATGATCAAGTAAGTAGATAAGAATATTATCACGAGCGATGCGAAACGCCAGATGGGCTATCTCTGTCGTGTTACAGATTTAATTAATTCATACTCAAACACCTGTGCTTTTTCACTAAAAAGACATAGCCGCATACACGATGCGAGACGCCAACTGGGCTATCTCTGTCGACTTTTACTGTGCTTTTATAAAGACCGTGATGGTGGTTTTAGGGTCCGATATACTAATGACATCCTCCAGAGCCTCATCACCGCTACTGAGTCAGACGCAGATACCCTTAGATACTGATGTTCCTTCGACATTGCAAGCAACTGTTCCACTGATAGAGGATATTGACTTGGACAGCGAAATATTAGACATACTTGGAGATGCTCCTAAAGCCGATACTAAATTTGGTAAACCAACTCATAAGGACCTAGCCTCTAGATGGCAGGAAATAATTGAAAAAGGATTACCCAAAGAAATTAAAGATAAAATTTATGACGAGTATTTAATACCCGCGAATTGTCACCTTTTGGTTCCACCCACACTTAATTTAGAGGTAAAAATAGCATTAGCTGAAAATATGGTGAAAAGAGACTCTTCCCTTTTGGCAAAACAGAAACAGCTATCTATTGCAATATCAGCCGTAAATAAAGCTATGGAAATGATAATCGCCAAGGAAAATCACACAAAGATTTTAAAGCCTGTAAGTGACGCTTTTAGGTTATTATGTGACAGTCACTATATAGATACAAAGACATGTCGTGGATTTGTTATATCTTCCATTAACCCTGATATGAAAGATACATTGAGTGGCACAAAACGTGACAACTTATAATATGGCGAAAATATATCGGAAAAAATTGAAAACGTCGAAGTCAATTAAAAGATCTGCGGCTGACCTAAAGCAGAATCGGAATGAGAGATCACAAGCATTTAATAAGAACAACTTTATTAAGACAAACAGAAATAATAATAACAATAATCGTTTAAACTGGAAGACCATACCTCGGAAAATAACACCGAAATCGGAGACCGGGCGAATACATCAGAATCAACGCCTCTCATCAATCAACAACTCTCAACAACGGGGACGTCGCGAACCACTGGAGCGGTCAACGGGCATGACGGACAACAGGGGATGATAACTATGGAGGTATTTAAATCTGGTCGTCTTAAACTTTTTTTTCTGAAATGGCAAAAGATCACAAAGGAACCTATTATCGTCTTGGGTAAAAGGGTACAAAATCCCTTTTCAAGGGTTATTACCTAATGTTAGACCAAAGAGTAAAAATGAACATAACGATTATATTAAATGTATTAATTCATTATTGCAAAAAGGAGCTATCTCCAAATGTTCGCATTGTGAAAATGAGTTCATTTCGAGTATATTTTTGATACCAAAAACAAATGGAGAAAAACGGTTCAATTTAAATTAAAAACAACTAAATAAATTCATTAAAACTTCTCATTTTAAGATGGAAGGCTATAGAACTGCGTCAAAACTTATTACTGAAAGTTGTTTTATGTCTTCAATTGCTATGAAAGATGCATATTTTTTAATTTCTATCCATGAGGATCACCGAAAGTATTTGAGGTTTGAATATGACAATGTTTTGTATGAATTTGATTGCTTACCCTTTGGTCTATCGACAGCACCTTACGTTTTTACAAAATTATTGAAACCTGTTATGGAAATATTAAGACTGAAGGGCTTCATGTCAGTAATATACCTTGATGATTTATTCTGTGTAGGCAGAACATACCTAGAATGTAAGCAGAATGTGAAATATACAATAAAATTCCTTGAAGAAATTGGGTTCGTTATAAATTATGACAAAAGTTCTTTAGAACCGAAGCAACAATGTAAATATTTAGGGTTTGTTTTTGATTCGAAAAATATGGCACTGAAATTACCAGAAAGTAAGATAAAATCAATTAAAAAATTGTTAATTCGCACTAATAATATTAGTCATTGTAAGTTACGTGAATTCGCAAAATTTCTTGGGCATTTAACGTCGATTTGTCCTGCGATAGAATATGGCTGGCTTTATACTAAGTAGTTTGAACGACATAAATATATTTGCTTACTTGATAACCCTACGTATGATCAAACTATTACATTACCTAATCATTTCGCAGATGATATAAAATAGTGTATTAACAATTTAGATATCAAATGCAATCCATTTAGATTTAATCAGTACGAAATAGAAATTTATTCCGATGCATCTTCCACTGGTTGTGGTGCGTGTCATAAAAATGAAAAAAAATATGGTTTTTGGAAAGGAAAAGAAAGAACTATGCATATTAATGTTTTAGAATTGAAAGCTGCATTTTTTGGACTTAAAATCTTTTCAAATAATAAGTTTGCATGTGAAATACTGCTAAGGATTGACAATGTAACTGCAATTTCCTGTATAAATCGTATGGGAAGCATACAGTATCCACACCTAAACAGCATTACAAGAGAAATATGGCAGTGGTGTGAAAGGCGTAAAATATTCATATTTGCATCTTACATAAATACGCGAAGC